GCCTGCCCCCCACTTCAGCTGGCTGCTCCTCCCCAGGCTGGGCCCAGTGTCACCTCTGCCTGGACCTCCCCCTCATGCCTCCCAGCCCTCAGCCCCAGGGCCTGGGGTCCCCACCGGCTCCTGTGCCCCAGAGGGAGGTCTTGGCCCTCCTGGGTGGAAGCCTCTGCTGCTTCCTTCCTGCTCTGTCCCCCTGGTGAGGGGCTCCTGGGCCTGTGAGACTGGTGGGAAATGGGGAGGGCCTTTCTCTTCTGTCTGCCCTGAGTCTTGCCGGCCACCCTCTCCCCACCAAGTCCCTGGTGGGCTTCAGGGGTGAGGCTCTAAGGGGAGGATTGGAAGGGAGGCCCTGGAGGGAGCTGCCCCATCTTCTCACTGGGATATCCTGGGGACAGCCTGGAACTGGCCATGAGGACACAGAAAGAATGGAGACCCTCACCTGATACCCCGAGCTCTAGGGGTTCCCTGGGCTGTGACAGCAGGTAGGGGGTGGCGCTGTGTGAGCCGTAGCACCTGTAGGTGACCCCGTGGACCAAGGTCACAGCATTCAGTGTGAAGCTGGCCAGAGATGACACAGGCCCATCCTGGGCGTGGCCATGCTGGGGAGGAGCAGCTGACCCCTCCTTGCACAGGTGGAAGGTGTCAAGCCAGACCTCAGAAAGACACTGCAGGGTCACATTCTCCCCCTTTCCCTGAGCTGCACAGGAGGGACACCTTCCCTCCCAGCGCCACCAGGGGGCCTGGGTCAGCTGAGAGGGAGGGGAGAACACATGAAAGTGGGCCCGGAGCCCATGCTGGGAAAGGGCCGCTGGGGAGGGGCTGCTCCTCCTTCTTACCTGTCACCACCAGCTGCAGGGGGTCACTCTGATTGGACCAGCTGCCTGAGATGAGGTAGGCACAGCTGTCCAGTCCTGCGGAGCCCAGGGGGAAGCTGGGCTTGTCTGGAGTCCCGGTGGGTCCAGGGGTTGTGGTCTGAAGAGGCCCCAGCTTTGAACAGACGATAGGTGTCTGCCTGCCGAGACCCCTGACACCAGATGGTCACAGGGTTCCCTGCGGCCACCATGGGGCCAGGGGCAGCCCAGATGAGGGGTTTAGGGGTGGGTTCCTGAGAAGGAATCAGACCTGGGGTTCAGGGATGTCTCCCTGTCTGCCTGGTCAGCCCAAGTTCCCTTCCAGACTGGTCAGCACCCCAGGCCCATGGACTCCCCTTTCCTAAACCAATCGGAGGTTCATTAGGCTGAACCAGGAGGTCTGAGACTCACCTACCTTTGTCTTGGCCCACAGGCCAGGACACAGCCCTGGAAGAGCGCACCCTGTGAGACGGTCCCCATGTGAACCCAGGTGGCCTCAGGACCTCCCAGGGCACAGCGCGCCCCCTGCTCAAGAGTGGCCGCACACCCTCCCTCTGCCTGCTCTGGTTCTCTGAGCTTGGGGCTCAGAGCTGGGCTGAGTGCCTTGCCTCCCCCAGAGCCCAGCCGCCCCCAGACCTGAGTCCCAAGGCTCTCAGGGACCAGCACCCAGGAAGGGTCATCTCTGTCCCCAGAGCTCATCCAGGCAGAGGAGGGCGGTGAGGGCGGGGGTCTTGGCTCTGCCTCCCATGGTCCTTGGGGCAGAGCCCTCGCCTGAGGTCCCTTGGCAGAGGGCATCTCTCAGCTCTGTGTTGCAACTGGAGTTTCCTCCCCAGCCGCTGCCCTGGAGGAAGCTGT